GGGCCTGATTGAGTCAGAACATTTTGAGTATATAAACAGAAATGAAAGGACACAATCTTCACACAAACAAAATAAACTTGTCACATGAAGTTTTTATTGGCAAGTTTTGTTCTCTTGTTCTCTTCTGACAGTAGAACAAACCCAAATGTTGCACAAAAAACACAAACTTTATAACAAGGCCTGCAAACTGTAATTCATTGACATTCAGTTGAACAGCAGAAACTAAACAATTTCTGGAAGGGTAGAAAACTTTTATAAATTCTATTGTACAAATTATACAAATGAAGATCCATTACAAGCTTGAATGACAGATATGCTGTTTTAAGTAAGGACAGTTTCATGTGTCATTATTGATATTATCATGAGGATGATGATGCTGATGGTCATGCAGAAGTGATTTTGATTTTGATCAGGCTGAAGATGTGATTTGTCAAAACCAAAGTCAGGCAGCTGCAGGGATGAAGCATCATGGAGTTAAGTTATGTTTGTGTTGAAGCAAAGCATTTTAAATGACAACAAATAAGGCAAGCAATATCATATGGATAAGGACAAAATACTTCTCCTATACAGCCCACCCATTCAAAGGATGAAAGTAGATTCAGAGCATATTTGAATCAGCAATATGACAATGAATCAAAATATTAACCAACTGTGAGCAGAAAGGAGGTTATATTAGAGGCTAATGTATATTTAGGCTAATCTGTTCATTGTGGAACAACTCTCCCCTTTTGGAAAAGCTGCTTGTACTTGACATCATTCTGTACGTTCTCAAGTTTTACAAGACTTTCATGTTCAACCTTTCCCACCAAAGCTTGGGAAAATAAATAAATACTGACAGAACTGTGAGAAGCCCTTTCAGTGGACTCCCTTGTATAACAGTCAAATTGAGAACACTTTCATGGTCTTCCTTAGTGCCAAATGACACAACAAACTTCACTGTTCTTTCTAAATCGCTGACTTTAAAGGAATTGTTTAGCATTTTGGAAAACACCTACACTCACCTTTGTATTGAGCATTAGACCAGAAGCTTGGTCTCTCTCACTCTCATGCCTTTACAGGAAATTTAATGCTAACACCTAGCAATCAACTGGCTATCTTAGCCTAACTGCTAGTATGCTTTATAAAAATCTGCACTTCAAATTATATCTTTTTTTAATATATATACCAAACCAAAGTGTAAAAACAAGAATCTGTGGTGAATTGGTGAGTATAAACCTTTGAACAAAGCAAGTGTTCTCCTGTTTCCTTTCTTTAAGATAAGCTAACTGGCTGCTTGCTCCAGCCTACTGTATCTTTACTGTACAGTCACAGAAGCAGTATTGATCTAATCACCACATTCTCAGCAAATATAACAAAAATGTATAGTTCCCAAAATGCCATTTTGCCATTTATATAATATAGGCTACATTTTGTTTAAATGTTTGATTTATTTTTAAGGAATTTAAATAAGTTGCAGTGGACAAGGTTGCACATTTTATACTGTATATAAGATCGCAGGCTTTGGAAAAGTCATGTATTTGATGCGCCTGTTTTTCATTGTTGCTGTCAACAATGAGCCATAAACAATTTTTGTATTGAAAATAAACATCTTTGTATCCACTCAGCTGCATTTGTCATAAAAAGCTTGTTTACCATGGATGACTGTGCAGCACGATGCTCGTCACCTGAAAATATTTGTTGAGCTAGAGGGAGTTAGGTGAGCAGGGGAGCTGAGAACAGTTCATTTCGCAGTCTAGTGCTGCCTTTCTTCCTCTATGAATTGTTTTTTTTTTAACTTTCCTTTTTTGATGTCCTGCCACTGTGTTTGATCTCAGCAGGGTCCTATTAGTCCAGTGCATGTAGGAAGGTAAAGAGAAATTGAAGAGAAATAGGTCTAACAGGGTTTGTCCTCTGTCTGCACACTCATACAGGATGCAAAGCTTAAAAAGAACTTTCAAACTTTGAACTAGTGTGAGCACCAACTGAATTCATATTCGTGCTGTGACAAATGACAAGTTTCTTTCCTTCCTTACACTTCACTTCATTTAAGTTAAATCAAATGCAGTCTAATACAGGTTTTGCAATCAATCCCACCTTGTTCAGGTTTTATTGATAATTGTGTGAATTATTTTAAAGGCTACAATTTGAGATACTCGTTAACTGGTTAGCATTATACTGACTGGTGTTTCTATTATTTTGTCCATTCTAGCGAGAGAAGGTTAAATAACAGAAACACATGTCTCGTTGTCTTATTTCTTGCAGGACTGTTTGTATTAGCATTAGACTGCACTTAGTCAAGTAACCTTCCTAATAAACTAGCAACTGACTGCAGTCAAGCACAGCAAAATTTAGTGCAGTACAATAAACATGTCCTACATGTTATGTAGTGACTAAGGCTGTTAACTGAGCGCTACAGACCAACCCTGAATCGTGAGTAAGTAATTTCAGGCTGCGACTGTAGCCTATTGTCAAATTACAAGAGTGAAGATTCAAGTGCTCTCACCAAAGAGTGTACAGGGAGATTGAATGCTTAATACGCCACCTTGATTAGCATATATGAATCAGACCTTATTGGAAGATAAGAAAATAAACTTAAAACATGACTGAAATTAATGTAAAAGTCAGAGGTGTACTAACAGACAAAAAATAAAAACTGTCATAGATAATTAGTTAAGTCAATAAATCAACATCTTTTTTAAATATTTACTTTTTAAAATATTTAACGGTATGTTGTCTTTATTATAATTGCATAGTCTTGAGGTCATTAAACACCGACAGTACTGTACATATTGGGGAAGAGTCTGAATAAGCTATTAGCTCGCTGTCTCACAAAAACACAAACATACAAATATTGTGTTCTGTCCAATTATTTATATATTAGTGCCTGTGTAATTTGCTCAGACAGCATGTACTGCACACAAAAAACCCTTTAACGTTTTAGAAACTAATTCCTCAGAGAAAAGGGGAACTCACATTCATTATACTGTATGTGAATATCAATAGAAATATTTTAACATTTGTGTGGTGGGTAGAGCATTTTTAGAATTCATTTCATTCCTCTTCACTCACTGGGAAGAGATTAATTTGTCAGTCCAAACAAATGGGTGCACTGATTTGTGACTTAGCAGACCATGTAATAGAATCTGTTAAACTGAGATATTCTCATAGGATGGTCTGATTTCCTCCACCAACATCTGGTACCCATCCATCTTTTTTCACAAGTGGTGACTTATTCGAGGATGTTCAGTAAAGTTGAGCATCTTAGCTTATCTTTGTTTCACTTTTATAATCTGTCTGAAAGAGGAGAAAAACCAACTACCGTATGACTGACAAAATGACTTTCAGTGGTGACGTTGGCTTTGGAGGCAATGCGGAGCCAGTAAAATTAGATATTCAGACCTGTGTGCTTTCAGAACCAAGCTGGTTCACATCCAGGGGTCAACTGAGAAACTCAGAGTGACAGAATAAATAAATAAAAATCACGGTTTCCTTCATTAACACAGATGCTGAGATGCCCTTAAACAAGGCACTTAACCTCCTGACTGTGTAGTACACGTCTGTCAGCGTGCTGGGCAGCTTGCAAATGAGCTATATGTGTAGCACTTTTTCATTTGTACAACCTTCAAAGTGTGGTATCGTGTCAACCCTGCCTTCTAGAAATTATATTTATATACTACTAACTTGTTTTCCCAGGTACACTGTAGTTTGAAATGGAATCAGTGCTTTGCCTGCATTGTGTTTACATGGATTGAAGCACTGTGTATTTGTACCACATACAGAGGTTGATAGCGGGCACACAAAGTGCACAACTGTGATGCTGTGGTGAGGCTTGCTGTACTGTACGTAACAATATCACTTTGATTAAGATTAAAAAAAGACTGTGTTTTCAGTGTTTCAAGTCACTTTCAAGTTTCAATTTCTCCAAGTGCACAACCTTTCGGTAAACTGGACCAAGTTCCACGTGTTTCTAATCTAATGTGCAGGCACATTCGTTCAAAATGTTTCTTTATCCTGTTCATTATGTCTCATTATGTACTTCAGGTAACTACATTCTTCTCAAAATGTTATATTAGGAGGCAGGATTGCATGTGGTGTGTTTTTGGTTACAGGCACAATGAAAAAGAAACAATCTAGGTTTGGAGAAACAAAACACAATGGTGCAGTAATAATGCAAAAAGAACCTAATGCATTATTGAGAATGTTTGTATGGGAGAAATATACATTTATTAGGCACAGTGGCCGTGATTTGCTGCCCAATGTGAACTATGAATTTCTAAATTTGGTGACATTAAAATTTTCTGATAAACTATTTTAGATTGTGAATAATATTAGTACAGAACTTAAAACATGAGTATTTTTGCTGAAATCATTATAAAGTCTTCAAAGATTAGGAAACAAAAGTAATGACCATGGTAACTTCAAAATATGCCCCAAACACTTTTGCATAAATTTCACGCTCCTGATGATGTAATGAACAGTTTTGTAGGGTGGGTTGATGTGAGGATATCTCTCAGGGGAACCCTAAGAAAGCTGAGAATGATATGTTGCACACTCATGGTTTTAAAAAACATATGTGGTTGCAGCTGAAGATGAGTTGCAGCATAGCATGAATGATTTTGTATGCATGTTGAAATTCCACAACAGAAAGGCAAGGGTGTCGTTTTGGGGAAGGGCTTCAGGCATAGAGTAGAGAAAGGCCTCTCTGTTTGAAAGTCTGCGGTGTGTTGTGCCACCCACTCTGGCAAAGTGGGCCAATACTGACTGCTAAAGGGTCCAATCGGGCATTAGGGGAAACATGGATGTGCCAGATCTGGAGCGAAAAGGAGGAGCAGGAAAGGCAGGGGTTGTGGGAGCAGGGCGGGACAGGAGCAGGTGGGTGGCTGGTGGAGCAGATGTGAGCAGAGCTGAGGACGAGCTTCACGCAAAGACAGTCCCATCGATGCCTCCGTCACAGCCTGAAGCAGGAAGGGGGAGGGAAGGGAAACAAAGATAACATTAAACTGGAGCTGTTTTTTTTACCACACAACCGTGCAGGACACCACGCTGTTAAAATGTTATGCTCAGACAGACTCCCAACAATGCAGAGTACATGAAATCATTTATAAACATATCCTAACTTTGTATTTCTGATGTTCTTTTATTTTAGCTGATCCAAAAATGACAAGAGGAGCAATGAAGATCAAGGCTTGAGTCTAGGATTGAATGTATGTCACAGTCTGCACGTGTGAGTGGAGAATGTCACAGAAACTGTTATGACAAGTTATATAAGCATCTTTCTAGTGTACTTCATTCTTATAGAAAATAATTCTAATGTTAAATCAGACAATAGCCAGTTTCTTTTTACGAGCAATGGAGTCTTACCACAATAGGCCGCAACATTTTCTGCTATAATTAGAACATTTTGCATCATTTCAAGTGCAAGTTGTCTCTAATTTTGGTTTCTGCCTGTGCTCTCTCACAAGTTTGAAGGGTTGTTTGGTAGGCGAGTCACATAATGTCACATAGGACTGTTTTTAGCATTGGCAACATTTTAATCAAACTATGACAGCTGGGGGTTATTGCCAGCACTGTCACATTGAAAGTGACTCTCCAGAAAATAATCTTTTATAATCTTAGTTAGTTAAACTGTCACTTTGGTTTTTGTATGTATAAAAGAAACAAGTTATGAATAATTAATTTGTTGATTTTTCAAAAATTTTTTAGAGATTAGTGGATTTTGTTAAGGTCTGTTTCTCCCATGTCCGGTCTTTTTGCTAAGCTAAGCGAAGTGGCTGCTGAGGCAATTAAGATTATTTCCCAAATGTCAAACTAGTCCAGTAAATGTGTTTTTCTCTTTTTGAACATTTACGTTGATTAGTGATTGGCATGTTTTCAGGGGGCTTTGATATGATACAGTATTTTAAAAAGGCATTCAGCCTGCTGTTGGAATAGAGCCATACAAGAATCCACAGGCCTGTAGCATTAACCCAGTAATGATATACCCACATCACCCAAAAAAACTCAAATTCCTTATATGATTGAGATCATTTCAACAAAGATAAGAAGGTGGATAGAGCAGCATTAACTGCCAAAATTAATAAAGTTCAAGATCTAGACAAGCTTTGAAACAATTTCATTTGTCACCACGTGCTGTGCAGATCAGAAATCAAAACCACAATGGATTTTAGCAAGTCTGAGTGGCACTGTCATTGCACATTATCTGCCAGATGGGCTGGCATAGGGCCTGCTGGAGGGGAAGCCTGGGTCACATCCTCCATCCTCTTGCATTATGTAAGATTTATTTTTGGGATGTACAGTTCAAACCAGTGTGGGTTTGCCAAGTGGTTGTCAGGCAGTCAACCACTCTCAGGCTCTTGAGCATGATATGAAATCACCACGGTTTGACCGCCAAAACTTTTTCCCCAGATATGTCAGACAGGCTGCCTCACTCAATAATCCAGTCAGTAAGACATTTCCACCTGATTTTATCTGAGTATTTCTGGCATCGGTGTTAAATTTATTCACACACTGAATCAAGCCAACAGCCATGCAGGACTAATTCATGATACATACAGGTGTTGCCAGCATGCTTCTTAGCCTTAAACCTAGCATGTGTTTCCTTACTGGCACACCTTTGGGCTCAGTAAATCTGAACCTTGAGGATGTGCCCCTTCTTTGGTATGTAGTGCTCCTGCTCTCACTTTCTCTGTAACCTCTGCTCTAATGAAATACATCTCCAGCATAATGTGGGTGTCTTTATATGAACAGAGAGAAGCCCACAGTCCCTAGAGGCTCCAAACTGGCTATTTTCAAAAACTGTGACTGTGGTTTTATAGACCCGCATCATGTTTGTAATGGTGAGCACTGAACTTATCTAATTAGCTTTATCAGTTTAACCAAGGGCCTAATGGAAGAAGAGGTCTTCATTGTGTGATGTTTTTTGTAAACGAGGCGTTGTTCACTGTATGTGGTGCTATGATTATATTCTTTCGCACAACTTGCCTTGTCTACATGTAACATAACCTGGTGATTCTCTACAATCCCCAGAATACCTAATAAAAAATCATTAGAAGAATCTTGTTGCACTCAGTACATGTGTGCTTGTGTGGAGAATGTGAAGTTGTCATCACACCATGTTGAATTTTGGTTAAATGTGCTATTTTGATGGGATCATGCTCATTATCAATTATATATACACCACATACATCTATGAGTTAATTTCAAAGAATAAATACTATCCCACGGCTACATACAGTCGCAGATGCTTCAGTTTTGTTGAAACATCCATTTTAGTGTTCAATTTGAGCACAAACCAGACAGAAATCGATTCATCTGCAATGTTTGTGTTATCTGCCAACAGCCGCTAGCTAGCGTTAGCTCCCACACTGAGAGCTGAGATCAGAGTGCAGCCATATTTCAGGTTGTCACTCACATTGGCAGGATCTCTAGGTCCACTATGAGTTAGCTACAGTCAGCCAAGGTATCAATTCTGAATTACCACAGTCAGTAAAGTGAGAGTTAAATGATTTAAGCAGCTTTTTAACCAAACAACACAAGAATGTATGCAGGTAAATACAGCGCCTCCCTCCCAAAATGGCACCCCTGTCCCCACATTCAACGCAGCGCGATGCACCTTCTCATTCTCTATACTGTGCCCCAGTGGCCCTATTTTCA